ATGAGAAACCCTTCTACTTGAACAGGCGGCCAGTAGTGCCGCCCGTCTTTCCTAGTGAAGTAAAAGCATGCCTTCGGCGCAGTAGAACATAATTCTACTAATCTTTGTGTCAAATCAAAACATATCTCCCACGCTCCCAGTCATTGATGAAGCTGTTCCAGAAGTAGGTTGTTGCAAACCCAATTCGGCCTGCAGTTGGGCTGTCATAACCCGGAGCCCCAACTGCTACTTTGTTTCCATCTGCTGACAGTGAAATGGCAAAACCAAAGGTGCTAATTGAGGAGCCATCCAAGAGAACACCAACAATTGTACTGCCTCTTTGCAACCACATCTCTGTGCTTGTGTGGTATTGGAATACCACAACAACTTCATTGATGGGAGAGCCAACAGCAACAATGCTGCCATCACTTGATATTGCAACTGTACGTCCACTAGTTAGAAAAAACAAGAGAGGAAAACCTGTCAAGTCTTGACCTTTTTGGGTCCATCTGTTGGCAGCATTCTTGTAGACACGAATGGTGCCAGTTGTCAATTCACGGACCACTATTGTTGTCCCTGTCTCGTCTATGGCCACAGAGTCTCCAAATTCTCCCATATCGGAATCTCCCACAAGATTTCCTCCATGTTGGACATATCCGCTGATGGGAGCTAACCGACGATGCTGTTTCATGTTTTCCGCAGTCAGGTCAATGATTGCTAATGAATACTTTTGAGGCTCACTGTTATCTTCCCCAGGAACATTAACATTGCTGGTAGGGACCCACCACCAGAGAATTGCAGCATTGACACACAGCAAGATTGCCCTGGAGAAACCTCGACGAGCATGGAACCATTCTGAAAGATTGAACATCCTCAGCAGTTCAAGGATACGGTAGATACGATTCAAAAGATGAGCAGATGGAGCGTCGTGGAGGCAAATGAGACCACACCTAATAAGCTTATCTGAGCATTGAAACTCGATCACTGGACTAGAAGATTTACTTCGCAGCAGGCCAGCTCGTGTCGGGGAGTTGTGCACGACGATTCTTTTAGAGAATCGGCAGTTCAACGTAGCTCTGGTATACATAGCGATGCAGTCGACACTGAGGGACACTCCATAAATTGCTTCCAAGGTGCTCCATGGCGTCAAAACTGACCATGAGCGGAGTTGTCTGGTACTGGTACCGGTGGCCGGTACTAGTAGCCACCGGTACCAGGGAATCCAATCCAGAATGAGGCGGCGTGCACTAACAAAATTGTAAGCCCACATCGCGATAAATGGCTGTTTAGGGTACCAGGTAGCTGCAAAGGACGAAGCTGTTGCTTTCGACTCAGGAAGAAACATGAAAACTTCTCAAAGGAGTATGTGGAGAGTTAAGAGGTGATCAGAAAGAGAACATCTTTGGTTGTTTTGGTTTCGAACGCAACATTCTCCGCAAAACTACTAGTAGAGTTGTTTTCTATCTCTACTACTAATCCTTCATCTCATGACTAGCTAGCTAGTCAGGCTAGTACCGTAATCTGCGATTGTCTAGGCCGACAAGACATCCGCAACTTTGGTGGATTCCAGCAAGACCACTCCTGCATTTTTCATGTCCGTTTGAAATGATTCCGCCGCCGCTTCAAATCCCGGCACGGCCGAAGCACAATCCGTCAATAGAACAATTTTGGCGGCATCTTCTTTGACTCCGTGTTGGACAATATCCCGGACCGTGTAATTGACGCAGTGACTCATGGCTTGTCCACAGACGAGCAATTTGTCGGATTTTTGTAGTAGAGATGCCTGAAGCGTTTCGTTAAAGGCCGTCTCGGGCGACACGGGGACATCGGCTGCCAATGCCGAGTACATTTCGGTGAGTAGATTTTGTCCCTTCATGACAAATTCCACGCTGCCGCCCGTTTGGACACTCCACTCATCGAGTGCTTGACGGACCGACGGGACCATGGCGTGTCCTTCCGTGCCAATGAGACAGTGTTCGGGCCATATGCAAATTTGGAACCGACCTCCGGCTTCCAATCGACGCGCGTATTCCAAACAGTACTTGGTGACGTCAATTTGAGTGCCATCTTCCGTCAGGACCGATTCTGGTTTGTCAAAAATGGTCTTGTCAAACAATTGGTCCATGGGCAATTTCACCGTGGGACGGGGTTTCCACTTGCCGCTCTCAATATCTGCCGCGGGAATAATGGTAAAAGGAGAAGGACACTCGTCGGCATCGTTGGTCCAAAACTGAGGATGGGCAATGTGCAATTTGTGATGCGAATCCAGCGTCGCCACGATCCGATGAATGTTGGTGGAATGGGTACGAATCAACGACGCAATGCGATCGGCGTCTTCGTTTGCAGTAGGAATGGCCAAACTCCCACCGGGGTGAAAGTCACGTTGCACATCCACCAACAAGAGTGTATGGACTGTCATGGTCGAGCAACTAATCGGCTAGATAGTTATGTTGCTACTTTAGGGGTGGACTCTTGTGAGGAGGTGAAGAAGGTGCTCATCGTTCCGGAGGAGTTCGGCAGAAAAGGATCTTTGTGGTCGGCTTAGTCGAAGATCCAACTATCTCTCGAACCTTTTGAAATGAAAGCCCTCAAAGTTGTCAAAAGACAGGTTTGGTGAGGAAGATGCTCTTGTGACCTTGAGGAACAGCAATAGCAGCCAAGGTCAATGTCCCTTCATTTCTTATGTCCTCTAGCTAGCTAGTAGTCGCTCTCTCGGGCTTGGACGCATTAGATTGTAAGAGGAAATCCTTGGATTGATTCTGGTGCAAGTTGAAAGTTTCGTCCCTCCCTCCTCCCTCCTCAAGCCAGAGTGCAACGTTTCAATTCGATACCTAGAGTAGCTAGCCCTCGATGTGAACAACAGCCAGTGGTTGGTGTTCTCCATCTTTGCATACGTTGCGTGATTTAGTGATGTAATGCCACCCTGCCATGCTTTGAATATTCCTTGGCTTCGTACCTGTTCGTGGACCGATGAAAGAGGTTCACCTCCATACCGCAACATGGATGGTTGGCTTGCTATGGATCCTCCCTTTGGTCTTCGTCTGGTTCGCCCCTCGTTGCAGGCGGCTATGCGAGCTATGATAGACGCTGCTTCCTCAAGCTTTGCAGGCATCTTGAAGTATTTCCTCGGCGGAAGCCTCCGTACTTTATCACTTTAGTATCCATCCACAGGCAGCAAGTTCTCTTGAGCGGAGGAAGAACTGGCTACTAGACATGCAATAACAACACCATGTCCCATCACCTTGCCGTAGGAACCTCTTTGTTCAATCCAACACTGTGCAAGCTAAGGTGAATGAACGTCGCAACGTCGCTCAGCGCTTCTTCTTGTTCGATTGTTCATGCTGCGACGTTCGTAGAACTTCGCTCGCATTCCTACCGTATTCATTATCTGCCCCTTGACATAGCATATCGCGTCGTGATATCCGGCAGTGCCAAGTTCCAAGGCAGGTTTCGAGTTGTTGGTTGTTTGAAGGTTGACTTGCTTGAAAAGCGAACTGGCCGCTTGGCCGCTTGATACAGTGGTTGAGCAAGGGCTCAACACTAGCTAGCTAGACATTCGACACTGTACTAAAAAGCTAGAGCTCTAACTACCGACTACATACAACTACTGCATAGCAGCCAGTTAGCTAGCTAGAGGGTTATCTACTGGCTAGCTAACTACTCTAGAGACATGTGTAGATTGTACAGCGGAGAAGACTTACTTTGTTGGAATAGGTTGACCGAACCATGTCGCGGGAGAGCGGGAGACAATTAGATTTTCTAGCTAGCTATGCATAGATCGATATTGATATGGGAGTGGGCACCATCGATAAGCATGAGACGAGGCGGTGAAGCATTGGATTCGGAGTTCTCTGGCATTCACCTGATTGGGGTTCGCTGATCCTACAACTTCTTCGAACCTGCAGCTCTGGCTGCACTCTGCACCCTGATCTTGGGAACTTGGAAGCTTGGAAGATCACTCATCGCTTTCTTTCTTGCGTTGTTGTTCATCGAAGCAAAAATTGAAGCTGCGAAACTAGCGACATGGTCGATATAGCCCGTGTAAAGAAGTGATCAATAAAGCAAAATTGTCCCAAGTGCTACAAATAGATTAGAAGGAAGGGTTGGGGTTGGAAACCAAGGGCTGTATCCATTGAAGAAAGCAAGTTGAACGGAAAGGTCAGTTGATGAAGTTGTACGATGCAAATGAACCACTGGTCGCAGCAAAGTCCGGAATTGGTCTGATTTCAATCGTGCATAGAAGGCTAGTTTTACGGAAATGAGATTTCCGTAAATTACGGAAACCAGTACTACGGAAATGTTCGTAAATTACGGAAACGTTTCCGTAAAACTCTAGTTTTACGGAAAACTAATAGTTTTACGGTTTCAGTCGTGTTTACAGTAGGTTTCTATGAGTGTTTTGGACACAGTTCTACGGAATTAGTTCTACGGTTTTTAGTTTTACGGAAACATTTCCGTAGAACTACAGTTTCACGGAAAAAGGCGTAAATTACGGAAGTTGAGTTTCTGTAGAACTGAAATCCGTAATTTATGGAAATCGACATCCATTCCGGACCTTGCAGCGCTCGTCGTCGGCAGATAGATGTGATTGCCAGGAAGACAGTTTTGGGGGGTCGCTAATCAGTCCCGTGTAGGCTTAATCTTGGTTTGACCTGGCCAATCTCGGTCAATCTTTCGGTCAATCTTGGTCAATCTCAGTCAATCTTGGCTACCGTCGGTCAATCTCGGCTATCGACCAAGATTCACCAAGATTGGAAAATAAGGCTAACTCTATTACCGTAACAAATAAGATTTAACAAGAGGGACCAAAAAGTTCAAAAGGAGAATTAAGATACCTTCAAGTCCCTTAACTGAGACCCAGGAGGACCAAGATTGACCGAGATTGACCGAGATTCAAGACTTATGAGACCGAGATTCAAGACTTATGAGACCGAGAATCAAGACTCAAAAGAGAGATGCCGGTTTGAGTTAACAAGAATGAACCTCCTACTATGAATAGTTCGTCGTGGCATTGTATCATCGTACCGTACCATCGCACATGTACAAGCTTCCTCTCCTCTTGTGATCCGGAGCGAGTGGACTGGACGCAATGCTGGTTCATCGGCCGTCAGCAGTGCAGCAGAGAAAACAAAAAATAGGTGTGAGCTTCGCTTTCTGTGCTCAGCTGAAGAAAACCGGGGACTTACCCTTGTTTTAATTCCTCCAAGTTGACTGTCATGGGCCCAGAACTGACTGTCATCCCATCGTCCATAGGATTCAATGAGGGATGGCTTTCCTTTCTGCACCGGAGACGGTCGGCTTTGAGTGAGGCTTGGATAATACCGGTAGAGGTGCGATCGATCGACTGTCACTCGACTGTGACTCGACTCGAATAATTTAAACAACTCACCTGTTGAAGGCCGAGATTTGACTGCCTTCCCGCGGTCCATAGAAATTCAATGAGGGATGGCTTTCGAATCGACACCTACAATAAAACTCTTGATAATAGGGATAATATGCTTACCCCGTGTTGTATCAGTCGGTCGTTCGTTCGATCTGTTCTTTCAAAAACACCATTGTGCAGCTGTTGTTGTTGGTTGATAAGCCGTCTCGGTTGGATGGCCGAGATCCAAGGCCAATCTTGGCTAATCTCGGTCAATCTACCGTTGAATCTCGGTTAATCTTCCGAATCTTCGTTGGATAGTAGCCGAGCCGAGATTGGCGAGATCCGTGACTCAGCTTCCACCAAAACTGTCTTCCAGAGAGATGCCGCCTGGATTCCATTACACCGGATCCATCCTTGGCTCTGTCCCCAAAGTCAGAGTATTTGAGGTGGGCTGATGAATTGAGCAGTCACTCTCTGGCTGAAACAGACGGCATTACTAATGCTAAAAATGCAACATGTGAATTGTAAGCAGTGAATGGTTAAGTCGGTTGAGCTCAATGTGAGGCCCTGGGTTCGATTCCCGGGCATTGCAATCTTTTCTCATGTTGGTCGGGGATTTCTGAGTGGTATATCTCCGGGAAATCTGATCATGGTGCAATACCCGTCAGAATGAACGGGCCCGGTAATTTGGTAAGTAGTATGTGATGAGATTGACCGCATTGCCTTGCGAGGAATGCTGGCATTGCAGGTGTTCCTGATGTCATGTGAGTTGTGCTTGCGGGGCAACTCATGGGGAGATCAATAGTTCCTACTACGAGCCAGATTCGTGACGTCTGGGGAGTGATGAATTGAGCAGTCACTCTCTGGCTGAAACAGACGGCATTACTAATGCTAAAAATCCAACATGTGAATTGTAAGCAGTGAATGGTTAAGTCGGTTGAGCTCAATGTGAGGCCCTGGGTTCGATTCCCGAGCATTGCAATCTTTTCTCATGTTGGTCGGGGATTTCTGAGTGGTATATCTCAGGGAAATCTGATCATGGGCCACAAAAGAGGCCTGTGAGAGATCACAACCAATGCCTACCTGGTAGCTAGCTACTGTAGTAGTTTTCTATCTTCAAAAAGACTTGCAAGAGAGCTTGAGACAAGCTCGGCCAGTGTTGGTCTCGTTGCACATTATGGATGTCCTCCGTACGTACCGGGACTAAAAGTAGGTACAGTACGATGATACTCCACCAACATCCAAAAAGACGGCGAGGTGCTCGCTCGTCGGCGAAAGAAAAATGATTCCATCATTCCAGCTCTGAATGCTTATTCACTTGGTTGTGAGAGAAGGAACGAACGAAACAAGAAGGGAAACTTGCAGAAGGGAATACTGCTTAGAAAAGTAACGAATACACGAAGTTTTATTTTAAAAGGCTACACCTCATCAGACAATCCCGCTGAACGGTGCCGTGATGAACCCACATACCCCAGACGCACAAGGCGCCCACTTAGGAATGGGCCTAGTGTAAGCCCCCCACCGGAGAAATTGAGCAAAACTCCGGAGGGTGCTGTACGACTAACTATCTAGGCTAGGCTAAATCGCCCGCTATTGCTATGGGAATCCCACATCGGTGCATAGTTACCCTGCTTGGGAAAGCTGCTCTCGTGCATGCTCGTCCCTCATTGCTTTGTCAACAACTGGAAGCCAATTGGCCAACCATGCCTTGATATCCCCCGGCCCTTTGGCCATCTGTTCTTCCAGGGGTCGTTTGAAGATGGTATCAAGGAGATGTTCTGGGAGTAGATTCGCTTTCTCATACAGGAGCTCTACTTCTCGTTGGAGCTGCTCGTGTTTCTTGCGCCATTTCTGTTCTTGATCTCGGCTGTGCCTGCTAACGAGGCGTTTTCTCCCACGACTCAGAAGACCAGTGACTCACCCCAGTTGGAGGCCAAGGGATAGAGTTCATGAGTACCGGAAGAGCGCGCATAGTCTGCGCAGCATATTCCACACTGTGGTCCACGATGAATGCACCGTGGTCCCATTTAGCACTCATGTCTCGATCCTATCCGAGTCGAATAGGCACCATGTTTGAACCAAAAGCCGATGCCTGCTTGCGCCGTTCCGTTTTTATCAGTCCAATCCTTGACAACGAAACCCAATAGACTTGATAGATCGTAATGCTCATAATATTCTCTTTTACTGTTTGCCATTGCACGTTTTCCAAAGGTCTAGTCGAAGCTAACCACGCTATGACGCCAACCCAAAGAAGGGAGATTATCACTTACGAAATAGGATTTCAGCAGATTAACAGTCGCAGTTACGTCCCTACGCAACTGCACAATCATGTCCGCCGCTGCCCATCGAACCGCTGATCGCGACAAGCTCAAGCATGTCGTGACCATCAAGCTCAACAATGATGAAACCAACTGGGAAACTCACGATGTCATGCTTGCCCTCACTCACTTTGGAGTCGATACCTACTCGGACCTCATAATGATGGAGCGCAGAGACATTGAATCTCTCGTGATTCCAGCCGCTGAAACCGTTGCCGAGCGCCCTCTTGGATTCAGTCAACGGCGACAACTCCTTGCTGCGATTTGCTGCTTTCATCACTTCTGTCGAGAGCAAACCAAATCCATCAACGTCACGTCAATCAGTTTCGCTAACTTCCAACGATTCTGCATCGGACGATGGGATCCATCAGCCAAAGTGGTCCCGTGGCTCACGACACGAGCTCCTGTATCCGCCGAAGCAGAGATTGA